CTTGCCTCTGGAAACTCTGTGAACACAGAGAAACTATAATAGTTATAAAACATGGTTCAGGTGTTTTTGTTCATAGGGTCGCTATGAGTGGTATTCAACTCAATGGCACTTAACAACAACAACAGACAAATAATGGTAATTTTCAAACACATATTTAAAAATTATATCTATTAAGATGATATTATTTAAATATATAAAATTTTAATAAATTTAACATTGAATATATTAACTCTTTCAATATATATCAAATATAGTAAATCTTTGAGAAAACACTAACATGAGGGAAGCTTTCATTGTTAATTAAGTGCTTGAGTGTTTCTCTTAATTATTACTAAAGCATTTCAAGCAGTATAAGGGTAAGGCTAAGGAACAATATTAAACCATACCATGGATTGCCAAGAGAACAGACAGGTCTGTCCTAGAGAAAGTGAAACCAGGCTGCTCCTTGGAAACAAGGATTTTGAAATGCCATCTCATACGTTTTGAGTATGTTGTCAGGAGGGATCAGTTTTTGGAGATGGATATCATGCTTGGAAGAGTAGGATTTCAGCACATGAGTGGAAGATACGAGAAGAGAGGGACTGAACAGTGACCGTGGCAGTGGGGTTAGGAGATAGTGAGGTTGAATAGAGCAGAGTTCAAAGCCATTGTTCATAGGGTCACTATGGGTCCCAGTCTACACGATGACACATAACAATAGGAGGACTTGTAAAGTTATACTTTCCATTAACATCTAGCAGCATTCCTCACTCTTTCCAGCTCATCAGTTTTGAATTGTTATCCTGACATTTTGACACTGAACATGAGAAAGACAAATTAACCATTTGATTAATTCAAGTCAATCAGGATTCTATAGTGTATTTTTCACCTCCTTGCCTCAAAGGAGTACCCTAGTTGTACTTCCTCCAAGACAGATCTGTTTATTCTTTTGGCAGTCCATGCGATATTCATTATCCTTTGCCAACACCACAATTCAAGGACATCATTTAGTCTTTGTCCATCCTTACTCATTGTCAACTTTCAGATGTATAAGAAACAGTTGAAAAATACCATGGATTAGGCATTTTTGTCTTTAAACTGACTTTCCTGCACTTTATCACTTTAAAGTGCTAGACAGTGGAAGCAGAGGGGTGAGGATGGGCGGTGGGGGAGGATTAATCACGGAGTTGCACAATTTCATGGATGGGGGTTGAGGGAAATGGGAAAGATCTAGTGTGTAAAACAATGCATTTGAATTTTATAAATAAACTAGCATAAAAAAGAATGTAAAGTAGAATGTATATGAATGATTGTATGAAACACAATGTAAATAAAAGATTGTATAAAACACAATGTCTATGAATGAAACATACTGTAAAGGTATTAGAACATGAAAATAAAAAAATATTTTAAAAAGAGAGAAAAAAAGAAAAATAAAGTGCTATACATTTGAAAAGTTTTTGATGAGGCTTCCTCCAATCCCAATGCGACACTTTTCTTGATATAGTCCAACTTCTGGAATGATTTGCTCAGCATACAGATTGAATAGGTTCGGAGAAAGGATACAAACTAAAATCATACTTTCCTGATTTTAAACCATGCAGTATTGCCTTAT